CCCCCCAACCGGGTCTTGTACTGGTATTCGTAAGGTCTCAAATTTTTTACTCTAATTGAAATTTTTTGACCTTTCGGCTTTGATTTCCCTGCAAAATGGTATGTGGACCCGGCATCACTTTACCACGTCGTTGTAGGTATACAGCCACATACACGTAGTTTCGAAAATTAGCATGACATTGCTGAAACCTATTGGAGATGTGTACTTCCAGTGTAATTTGTGAAGAAGAGACAAACATGCAATTCAAGTTCAATCGAAAATATGATGCACATGAACAGCGCAAAAATCGGAAAGTTTGATTTCCCGCGAAAGTCGGGTTACGCCCGCATAAACCCAACGGAGGAAACTCGCATTACAAACTCGGGTTTCGTGAAACCTCGGTTTCGAGCCTCACATAAACATAGCTACTGTTTTTCCCACAGGCCGATTCACATCCACGTGCCACGATCGGGCTGTGCTACGAAGCGCAGTCGCGCGGCGGTGTGCATCGGTCAGAGGGAGAATAAAAGGTCCCTTTAATGCGCGTGACTAATAACGGAACTGCTGACTACCTGAGAACTGACTCCTTCCATACCGGCCTTGGCCCGCCTTACAATGGAGCTCTTGCATGCATGAGGGATTTCCGATTTAAAAACTGACATTACTGGTATTTTGCGCGAAAAACGATGGTGTCACTGGCTTGCTCTAAAATTAACTCGAAAGCTCAAAAAAAGCTCTCAAAACTGAGGCCGTAATGGAGGGGTTATCCCACGCCACCCGGAGAGTCAATCTCTACAGCAAGACAAAGTCTCCATGCAAAGATAGGGAGGAAATGCATTAAAAGGGTTGCCTTGTTTTCAGTTTTGAAGTCCCTAAAATAAGGTGGCAACCCTGCTAATGCAATTTTTCCCTATCTTTGCACAAAGAGTTCGTGTTGATGTAGAAGTGGACTTTCAGAGTAGCTTGGGATAACTCTTCCATTATCACATCAACTTATAGACATTTTTTGAGCTTTGGAGTTGATTTCAGAAAAACCAGGGACACAATCGTGTTTCTTGCGAATTATTACTTAGGATTTAATATTAAAATTGCAAAGTCCTGACATATGCAAGAGCTCCATAAGACCCAACCCCCCCCCCCCCCC